TTTACATTGACAGCAGTCTATGCACAATGTGAAAAAGAAGTGCTGCTAAATATGCACTACTACAAGCCCATTTGTTACCTAGTTATATGTGATATTCCATGCAAAGTTTGACACGTAGAGTGAAGTACAGTGTGTGCTCCCCATGACATGCACTGTCCAAGAATATTGAAGCGTGCACATTTCCTGTAAACTGAGTAATTCATAAAGCAAAAAAACAACAATCTGTGCACCCAATTTCGTACAGCTTGAACATACCATACGCTGTCACTGCTTTTCAGTATAAGGCTTCCATTTGCCCACCTAGCATATTGGTGGCGCATGAGGTTATAACTATGGCAACTGTAGAGCTTCTTACGACTGGATGTGGGTAGCTTGGAAATCAATGGTCTCTCTTCAGTCCTTTTTCCGATAAGAAAAAAAACACACTCATGAGCAGGGTAAGACAGAAATGGCTGAACAAATTATGTTCAATAAATAAAATGTTTTCAACCATACCTTGTGAGGATTTTAGCCCATCAGCTTGCTTTCAGTGATGATACGTTCTCCGCTGACTTGAGGTAGGTTCAGAGTGATCAGGCAACCAAGCGTACACTGATATCAGAAGTACCTTGGAGGCTGCGGTTGGGTCGTAAGAAAAAAAAAACAGTCGTGGTTACTCTGGTAGAAGCGTGAACGGATTGACATATGCATGGCTAAGAAGGATGTATATGGGAACACAGCATATAAGAAAGGTAGTGTGGACATAATATTGCTGTTTTTGTGAATTTGTCGCGTGGATGGCATTATAATGAATTTATTTTAGTGACGTTCTTCAGAGGACAAAGCTAGGTAATTCCCCAACTGGATGTACCATATGGTTCATGCAAATGTAATATGCTTCACAGCAAACTTACAAAAAAAAGTACAAATGCGTATATGTATTAAAGGTTCACTTGGCTCTACTGTGTATTGAATTTATGAGCATTTATTGCAGCAGACTCATTTCGAGCAGAAACAGGAAAAACTTATGCTGTGATCTGTGCTACAAATTTTAGCAGTAAAGATATTTTCAGCGAATGTGACAACAAAGTAAACAATCTCAAACGTTCACAAGGTGTGCATCTCGTTAGCTGTACAAGTCGAAAAGCCTTATGAAATGACAAAACTGTAGCGCATGCAAAAGAAAAGGGCCATAATCAGATGCAAAGCAGCGAATTTTCACTCACCGGTGAACACGCCTACATTGTGCAAGATTATTCCGTCTTCGTAGGCAGTATCCGAGCGATTTGAGGCTGCGTAGTCGGACGTCGGTGAAGCACAGCAGCTCACATGGTTCACAGGCTTTAGACACGTTCGCTTCGCCGTAGTGGCCCGTAAAGCCTGACACACATATTCGCATTAATATATCAAAGCTGAATTAAAACGGAGCTTCGCAATGCCGATCGACAAAAAGTACCGCGGCTAACCGCGAACAATTTAACCCAGTTTTTTCCTTCCTCCATGATTTGAACAAATTAACCGACAAAAACGCAATCGATGCCAGTGGGCTGCTGCTTTGCGAGCATCACGATAATCTCAATACTTGAACTAAAACAATCACAACTCTTGTATTATTACTAAAAGGCAAACAAAAATATTTTATTCAATTTTTTTATGAAAAACGACGTAGTAACTACTCTTTTAACGGTTTTTCAATACATCCTGAAATAAAAATTTTAGCCGCGTTGAGCGCCCTTGACAGGGAAAATGCACGCTAACTTATCCGACCGCTGAAAGAGGAGTAAGTAGTTCCACTATACGCGCAAATGACGAAACTCGCCGCGGTCGATTTTTGCACCCTCTACGGCCATCGTGGGAACTTGAGAGTTTCAAGGGCCTGGTTGAGTACGAAGTACTCGAAATCGTTAAAATTTTTTTTCTAGACATACCTTTAAATTACGTTAGGAGGCCTCGTTAGTTCAGGAGGCAGCACAAGAGGCCTACGGGACGGCTTTATGCTCTCTCATAGTAGAGTACCTAGTACTCTAAATCGCTAACTACTTTTTCTAAGCACATTTAATTTTTTTTTGATGTGTAACATTTGGATACCCAGTGATCAATTAGATTTTGATGCTCATCTGTACGATGTATGCACTGTCTTTACTTGTTTTCTATGTTTCGTGTGTGCATGTACAAGTTAAGTGTACAACGAACTTCACTTTCTTAATCTGCACTCTCTCATCAAGTGCGAAACCCCCGGGACGGATTTTTGCTCTCCCATAGTAGAGTACTGAATGCCTTAAATTGTTAAGCACGTTTTCCAAACACACTTGACTTACGAGGCCACAAAAAGCTATATACTCTAAAGGGATCAAGACAGCGCAGACAGTTCGCCCTCGTTTGCGGCCTTGTCAACCGTGAGGCCCAAGGGACGGCTTTCAGCTCTCCCATAGTAGAGTACCGAGTGCTCTAAATCGCTAACCACTTTTTGTAAACACACTTGATTCCTTTGAATTTTCATTTGACTTGTAAGATTTGGATACCTGGTGATAATTAGATTTTAGTGCTCACTTGTACGATGTCTTTACTTATCTCTGATTTTTCGTTTGTGTATGTACAAATTTAGTGTACAATAAACTTTTCTTTCTTAATCCGCACACTCTCAACTGCGAGGCCCACGGGACCATTTTATGCTCTCCCATAGTAAAGTACCGAGTACTTTCAATCATTAGCCACTTTTTCTATAACACACAGCCTACTCTTCTCGATGCGACCTCATCCAGTGTGAAGCCCAAGGGACGGCTTTCAGCTCTCCCATAGTAGAGTACCGAGTACTTTAAATCATCAGGCACTTTTTTTGAAACACACAGCCTACTCTTCTCGATGCGACCTCATCCAGTGTGAAGTCCAAGGGACAGCTTTCAGCTCTCCCATAGTAGAGTACCGAGTACTTTAAATCATCAGGCACTTTTTTTAAAACACACAGCCTACTCTTCTCGATGCGACCTCATCCAGTGTGAAGCCCAAGGGACGGCTTTCAGCTCTCCCATAGTAGAGTACCGAGTACTTTAAATCATCAGGCACTCTTTTAAATCACACAGCCTACTCTTCTCGATGCGACCTCATCCAGTGTGAAGCCCAAGGGACGGCTTTCAGCTCTCCCATAGTAGAGTACCGAGTACTTTAAATCATCAGGCACTTTTTTAAAACACACAGCCTACTCTTCTCGATGTGACCTCATCCAGTGTGAAGCCCAAGGGACGGCTTTCAGCTCTCCCATAGTAGAGTACCGAGTACTTTAAATCATCAGGCACTTTTTTAAAACACACAGCCTACTCTTCTCGATGCGACCTCATCCAGTGTGAAGCCCAAGGGACGGCTTTCAGTTCTCCCATAGTAGAGTACCGAGTACTTTATATCATCAGGCACTTTTTTTGAAACACACAGCCTACTCTTCTCGATGCGACCTCATCCAGTGTGAAGCCCAAGGGACGGCTTTTAGCTCTCCTATAGTAGAGTACCGAGTACTTTAAATCATCAGGCACTTTTTTTAAAACACACAGCCTACTCTTCTCGATGCGACCTCATCCAGTGTGAAGCCCAAGGGACGGCTTTCAGCTCTCCCATAGTAGAGTACCGAGTACTTTAAATCATCAGGCACTTTTTTTTAAAACACACAGCCTACTCTTCTCGATGCGACCTCATTCAGTGTGAAGTCCAAGGGACAGCTTTCAGCTCTCCCATAGTAGAGTACCGAGTACGTTAAATCATAAACCACCTTATCTAAATACACAGTCACTCAGTGATGCCCACACTAAACCGTCATGAATTGGTTAATGGCGTAAGTTTTATCAATACGGCCTCATCAAGTGTGAGGCCCATGGGACCGCTTTATTCTCTCTCATTGCAAGGTACCAAGTACCGTCTAAATCGTGAAGCACTTTTTTTATACACACGCAGCTTGCACTATCCTTCGTATTCAAAAGCGCTGCCTGACAAACCACCACCTCAAGTCAGCGCATTTGAAACGCGTTTGTGCTGCCGTGGCACCGCCTAAAGACAGCGCGTGCGGAACGCGTTTTTCATGCATTCAAGGCGGTGGAAAGTTACGCAAGGCTGGGCCACAGTTGCCTCCGAGCACAGCGCACCAGAAAGGAGGCTCCTCCGCTGTGCTCCGGAGGACGCTTTGTAGCAGCTGTGTCAGTTCTCACGTGATCATAGACGGCGGTGGCGTGCTTTAGGTTGGCGAAGCTCGCTGTTTACAAACATGGAGTAAGTCTACAGCATACCATGCTCCTCTGACTTGGCGTGCCTTGGCTAAGCTACGCTGGGTTCCGGCTCATTTGACGTGAACAACTCTTCGTCGCTCAACCAGTTAATGCGGGGCGGCAACGTAATTTTTCCAAGCTTCAAGAGCTTCGCAGTTGAAACCGGCCTGACGCGTGGTCTGAACTTTCTTAATAACGATCTCTATTTTGGTTGTACTACGTCCCGAAAACACCAGATGATTATTAATTACGCCGTGGTGGAGGGCTCCAGAAATTTTGACCATCAAAGGTTGCAGAAGTGCTGTTCATTGAGATAGGTCGCACTTGTATATTAGCAAACAGTCTAAAGGAGACGCAGCAGAAGCGAGGCACAGCACTCATCCGGCGCGTTCATTCGTTTGTGCTAAGTCTCCTTTTGAGCTATTTTTCTCGTTTACCACTGGTTTTATTTAACGTGCACCTAGGTCTAAGTACACGGGCCTGAGCATTCTGCCTGCATGCAAATGCGACCACCACGGCCGGTATATTATCCCATGACATTCGAGCCCGCCGTGTGGCGCCACAGCCATAAACAGTGAAAGATTTGAACTTTCTTGGTGTTCCATCTTCCTCCTGCACAAAAACGGGCTGTTTGTATAGAATATCTTACTACGTGCCCCGCGCATTGGTTCGTGTACTGTGCTCCTTGACAACTATTCTGTTTTTTTTTCACCCTCCCCCTCAACACGTGTAAAAGGTGGTTTCGACTATGCTACAGCAAACAACGCGACTGACCAATCATGGAGAAGACGTCGGCAATGTACGAGGAGCCCTCGTTGCGGTTGCCCACGTGCTCCTTATTGTGAGTGACGAATGCCACTGACAAGCCAAAGTACGCGCCGAAGGTGTGCAGGAATATGGAACCGCCAGGATCCGCAGCCTGAGAAAAGGAAACGCTTGTCAGCTTAACTAGACGACCGTCGCGGTTACCACCTGCAAGGCTACAGAGCTACAGATAAAGCGTTACCTTCAGATTTTTCGCTATCAAACTACTTGGGATGCGTGATAATAGATTTGAAGAAATAAAAAAGTAAAATACACTCATTGCGTCTGTTCCCTCCAAAGCAAGTTCTTATTGGCCTGTATTTTCGCCATTTGTTTCAAAGACATTTTGTTAGTGCAATGTGGGCCTACTGACTACTACTCGAACACACCTAATCGCAATCACTGTGAAGTGTCACCAAACCTGCACTGAGAAACATGTCTTGCATAAATTTCTCTCGTAGCAAAAACCTATGATGAAGTAACGCCACAAAAATTAGCTGTTTGTTCATGAATAAAAATAAACTTCAGCTGGCTTAGAAGTCAAATTCCGAAGCGCATGTTCTTAAAAACCACATTATTGGAATCATTTAAAGCTGAGTTAGGTGTACTTCATTGAGTTTTCAAGTAACTTAGTAATAAAAATCCCTGCTTCATCTATTCCCAAATACAACGTTTGGTTACTGAGCGCCACTAAAAGGGCGTAAGTTACAGGAAGACATGCATCGCTCATTCGTTGAGACGAACTAGTTAATAGGAACACACAAACAGCTTCCGTACTCAACCTGGAACACCGCTACTCCCAGGTATTCGTTGCCCGCTCCAATGGCGGTCGCCATGAACCCTATCATGGCATTCTGGATCAAGCTCGTCTTCCCCAGAAGTGCACCGAGAGAGATGAGGAACGTGACGGCAGAAAACTCGGCACCTAGAAGGCTTCAAATAACGAAAGAAAGTACAGTTGAAGAATTAAAAATTTATTTATTTATTTTATTTATTTCATACTGTCGCCCCTGTGCTTGGGGTCATTACAGGGAGGGTGTCACATAATACATAGTATTCACACAATCAAGCAGTATTCAATATCACACAGGAATAACAGATGAATAACCATCACCAGGAAAAGAAAAAAAAAACAAACAGCAGTGACTATGTCAATTAAAATCGAGAAACAAGTGCTGGGAACAGAAGTTAGCAATTATCACTGCAGAGAAAGCTGTATAATGCATCTTTAAAGTTGACTGACGTCGTTTGTTGCACAACCAAATCAGGTAAGCTATTCCACATTTCTATCGCGTCTGGAAAAAAAGGAGTGGTGGAAAGCATTCATGCGTGTGAAATAGGGTTGAATAGCTCTGCTATTATTAAGACGATCACATCGCCTTCCAGGTGGCTGAAGATACAAATCCTTGTTTATTTTTGTTTGCCCCCTTATAATCTTAAAGACATTGGAGACGTTGTTTGCGTCTACGATATTCTGAAGACTCAAGCTCACAGGACTCTAACAAGGCCGTGACGGAGTGTGTGCGTCGGTATTTACCACATGCAAAACAGATTGCTAGTTTTTGTATTCTCTCAATTTTAGTGCTCAAAACCTTCTGGTGAGGTGACCATAGAATACTAGCGTACTCTAAGACTGGTCTTATGAATGTTTTGTCAGCAGTTAGTTTCACGTCCGGTGTGGTATGTTCCAGCTTTTTCTTGAGGAAATAAAGATTTTATTCGCCTTAAAACAGATGTTCTATATGAGAGTGCCACTGTAATGTGTGCATAATACTAACTCCCAGGTATTTGAAACAAGCGGCATTATTTAATGGTTGATTTCCGATGTGGTGCGTGAAAGACAGTTCCCGCCCACCTGAGTGAATATGCATGAATGTTGTCTTGCCGTAGTTTATTTCCATGCCCGCTTTTTGTACCAGACATCTAATGCCTGCAAGTGCCTGTTCAGATTAATTTGCTTGCCTTCACAAGCCACTGGGGAATAAATCAAGCAGTCATCTTCAAACAGTTTCATTTTAATAGGCGCCTCAACTATTGAACATATATAATTAACAAATGTCAGAAAAATAACTGGTTCTAAAACAGACCCTTGGGGTACGCCTGAGTACACGCGTAGTGGTCTTGAAGTATGGCTGTCAATTCTACAGCCTGTTGACGCATTGATAAATAAGCTCCTATCCATTTTAAAACTCCTTCGCCTATACCTAATCTTTCAAGCTTAAAAAGCAACTTACGGTTGGAAACCTTATGGAAAGCTTTCCTGAAATCCACACAAATTACATCAGTCTGCATGAGGGCATCGACGTTTTTATAGAAATCGTGGAGCATTTCTGCTAATTGTGTGACCGTTGAAATACCGTGCCGAAACCCATGTTGGTCAGAACAAAGTAACTGGTTAGACTCCAGAAAACTAAGAATGTGTTTTGCAATTACACGTTCTAGAACTTTACAGCAAACCGACGTCAAGGAAACGGGTCGGTAATTGTTTACTAATTCACGGTTACCATTTTGAAAAATCGGTATTACAATTGCATTGTGCCAGTCTTGTGGGAGGGATCGCGTCTTAACCGAATTTAAAAATAATATTTCTAAATAAGACGAAAGCCATTCGGCATATCACTTGAGAAACTGTTGGTAGATTATCCGGACCGCTTCCTTTCTTCGCGTCTAGCTCAAGCATTAGCTAAAAAACACCTTCACGGTCGATAATAACAGGCTCCATTGCGGTTGTTACATCAGTGCTGACGAATGCCTCAATCTTATCTTTCTGATATATTGTGAAAACGGACTGAAAAAAAAAACATTAAAAGTATCGGCCAAGTCTTCAACTTTTGTCAGAATACGCCCCTCGTGATGAATCTGCTCAATTCTTTTCTTTCTTTCACTGAAGTAACGCCAGAATTTGCATGGCGAACTTCTCAGGAAGTTAACAAGCGTTTCACCAAAAAACTTCTTTTTTTAATTCTGCAGGGGTTCTTTCAACTTGACTTTTATAGCTGCCACTTCTGTCACTTTATCTTTCCTTTGTCTGAGTCTTTCAATCTTCCGTTTTATATGTATAATGCTGCGTGTTATCCAAGGATTTCGTTTGCGCACTTTCTTCATGCGAGTAGCAACCTAGTGATCAACGCTTGTCATGACTTTGCTTTTAAATCTCTGCCACAATTGTTATACAGATTCGAAGTCAGATGATCGCGCGAAGTCATACAGCTGCTCTTCTAGAAAATCTAAGACGGAAGTGTCATCGGCCTTTTTAAAGTCCTTTAATTTTACCGGAAGGAACGGTCTTTTTGAACGGCGTGCAATTGTCTTTATGACCAAGGACAACAGTTTGTGGTCGGATATGTCATCTAAAGTGTCTAGGACGTAGTCTGTTATATTTTGCGACAAGAAAACGAGGTCCAATAATGACTTCGACGAACTTACAACCCTATTTTTGGCTCGCGCACAATTTGTTCCAGGCCATGGCAGAAATTAATTTCCAGAAGTATTTCAGGACTAATTGTTTCAGTCTCACCGGGCATAATATTTTTCTAGTCAATGTGTGGCAAGTTGAAGTCACCGGCCATTATCAACCTCGTGTTCCCGTTAACATGGTCACTCAAATAATCACTTAACGAATCTAGAAACTGAGGCGTAGACGCAGCTGGTCTATATACTGAGCCAATAGGGTACACTATATTGTTAAAAGAATTACACCACACAGTTTTACAAATATGACATTCAATCATGGCAGCTGCTATGGAACTTTTAACAATGATAGCAGCACCAACGCCTCGCGTATCTCTGTCCCGTCTGAAAAGCTTATACCCTGGAGGAACAATACAATCACTACGTATTTCATCACGCAACCACGTTTCTGTCAGTAATACAACATGGAGGCTATGTGCCATTAACAGATATTGCAATTCCGTCACTTTATTGACAATGCTGGGAGCATTTTGGACAAGAGTTCTTAGCTATGAGTGGGATTGGTGTTTTGAACTACCAGTAGAGCTGCCTGAGTCAAAGAAGTCATGTTGGTCATGCGCACTCGCCACTGACGTCGCTTTAACTATGTTATCCTCCTCGATTGATATATTGATTGATTGATTGATTGATTGATTGATTGATTGATTGATTGATTGATTGATTGATTGATTGATTGATTGATTGATTGATTGATATGTGAGGTTTAACGTCCCAAAACCACTATATGGTTATGAGAGACGCCGTAGTGGAGGGCTCCAGAAATTTCGACCACCTGGGGTTCTTTAACGTGCACTCAAATCTGAGCACACAGGCCTACAACATTTCCGCCTCCATCGGAAATGCAGCCGCCGCAGCCGGGATTCGATCCCGCGGCCTGCGGGTCAGCAACCTTAGCCACTATAGATCACCATGGCGGGATTGTTATCCTTCTTGTCACTCCGATATTGAAAAAGAGGGCGCCTTTTTTTTTTGATCATCCCAGACAAACATGCGCCCGTTTACCTTCAATTTATCGTGCACTATTGAGAATCTCGCCCCTTAAGCTCGGTCTGGCGTCAAACTTTCCCACAATTTCTTTCTTAGTTCGACAGTCTCCTTCGAGTAGTCATTACTGACACTAAAGAAAGTGCCCTTTAGTTTCTTGCGATTGCGCAATACATTCTCTTTTTCATGGTAATCTATGAATTTCATGATTACTGGTCTTACTTTTCTTTGTGTTTGCTTACCGACACGATGAATTCTTTCTACCGAATTAATTTCTACCCCCAACATCTTTCTGCGAATTTTATCGACAACTGCATTTCGCAAATCATCCTTGGTCTTATTCCCGGCCTCTGGAACCCCCCAAAAAAACAGTAAATTATTTCTTCGGCTTCTGTTTTCATAATGCACTATAGTCGTTCACCTTGTTGCTGAACTATTTTTCTAACCTTTCGATTTTCATAATAATAATACTTACTTATAACTAAACATTTTTTTAGAAATCAACACTTTCTCTT